AACGTTTTATAGGCAGTCAGCAAACAAGGAGGCCTGAATACCTCAGTGGTGACATCACTGACTATAACACTGGGTGATATCGATTCAAATATCAGAAAGAACATCAGTTCCCTCGGGTTTGCGAATACACCTTGCTGATGAGCACCAACAAGCACGAAACCTAGGTCAAGGGTTTCCGGTCAATTTCCCCCAACAAACTTATATCCACAAAGGTTTATTTCAGATTCTTTATATTATTTCCAGTCCGTCTTCCGTGATTTTATACTTTTATTATTCAGTAAGCCTACTTGAAACGTACAGAACTTAGCTGCTATGAAACAGTCAAGTTTTATTCTACAGTCGAAGGCCATTCTTACAATGCTTTTGAAGTGACCACTATGAAATTAACTGTTTTTTTCAATTAAAATAAATTACCATAACATAGACAAGATTTATGGAAGGGTAAAACTTAGACGCCACATGCCAAGTAATTCATAATGGAAAGCTCAGTGATGCATTTGAAGTGAAGACAGGAGATAGGAGACAGGAAAAAAACAACGCTGTCTACTATCACCCATGATACTCCTGATTGTGGTCTAGTGGACTGGATCATGCAACAAACAGTGGGGAGCGTGAAGAGGGGGAGACGCTGGCTGGACAGCTGTAAAGAACCTAGAAGACTTGGATCTTGCCAGTGATGACTTGTGCCTGATGTCTTGTCACACAAACTTGAAGATCTATAGGCGAAAACTAACAAGTTGACAGAAGAGGCAGGGCAGCGAAGACCGGACTTCAGGTGAATATAGAGAAGACAGAGGTGATGAAGATACCCAACCAACACCACCACCAATAACAGCAAGCTCCAATCACCATGAATGGGAGGAAGTTGAAGGAAGTGGCCTCTTTCACCCACCACCTAGGCACCACTGTTTCAACTACAGGTGGTGGCACAGGCACAGACGAGGATGTCAAAGCAGCCACGATCGGAAATGCAGCAAGACAGGCGTTGATTAGCCTGAAACCAGTGTGGAGATCCTCTACACTCAGCTCAGCACAAAGCGTGAACAACATCCGAATTTTCAACACCAACGTCAAATCAGTGCTTCTCTGTGATGGTTGAGAGACTTGGTGGCGCGTTACGAAAGCGATTTCCAACAAACTAAAGACATTCATCAACAACTGCCACCTACACTGGCTCCTTACTGAAGACCAGATAGATGGCGAGAATAATAAGAATGAGCAACAAGAAACTTTGGCTGACTGGCAACGAACCAACTAAGAAGGTATCAGCCATGAAGTATGCAGAATAAAGAAGTGTAGATGGATTGGACTGGGCATACACTGAGAAGACCATTCGGGGACATCACGCGACACGCCAGTCAGGCATTCGAGTGGAACCTAGATGGGAAACGACGAGTTTGGCGTCCGAGGTGAGGGTGACATGGAGGAGATGGTGTGAGTTTGAAATGAGAGGTTGTGAGCAGTCATGGAACCGGGTTGAAAATATTGGAGAGGAGAGTGTGTAATGTAGACGTGCTAGTGAAGTGGTATGTTCCATTAGGAACCCAAGGGACAAATAATAATAATAATGATAATGAAACCTAGACACTGTTGTACAGTATAATTCCAAATAAAACTGTTTACTTGATATGGCATATAGTGATGCAGTATTGTTTGTCGGAACATAACTTATTGTTTATATTTTAATCAAAGTTGATATCAGTGTGAGCAATAAAATCTGTCTGAAATATCGTTCTGTAAATTAATCTATATCACTGTGTACTACTTCAAATAAGCAATCTAATATCGAAGAAGTTCTACGTTGTGAAGCTTAACTCTGATTGTATCTTAGTATATTGTGTCAGCAGCTTCTCTCCTATTATAGAGAGAGAGAGAGAGAGAGATCTATTGCCAGTTGGACTTAGTTTATAGATCATCATTAAGTTGTAATAGTTATTAACTGATTACTATTGAATCTTGAATAGTCACGCAAAAACATGTGAAGGTCAATAGAAGTGAGCAAAATACATCTATGTAATACACTACTAAGTTAGTAATACAGTACATTCATGAAATATTTTAATGGAGTATTGTATATCGTTTTGGCAGCATGTAAAGTCTTCACTAGTCATTGATTATTTTATTTTTCGCAGTAGTTTATTGGCACAAATGTTAGTGGAACTATAAAGTAGATCAAATATTTTTTTCATGTATTTACTTATTTTATGCTTGTTTAGTTAAATGTCAACTTCAAAATGAAGACATATTTAAAAGAAATAATAATAAGGGGATGAATGTTTGTTTCCAAAAACATCCCATTTGAATTTAAGGTTATTTAGACTAGTGGCCATCAAATCACCCCTTACTTATTTTTACTTATGTATAATATACTAAATTCAATGGTTACTTTGTTTAGACTAAAATGGTCCGTGATTTGAAAAGTACTTAATTGTTTCATAAAAATCCCTAAGAACTTGCTTGTTATACGCTAGTTAAATAAATTGATGGTGGGGTCGTGGGTGCGCACTGCTGAGGAGTCCCATACTAGGACGAAACAGCTGTCCAGTGCTCCCAGGTTTCCTTTGTTCCTCCAACTTATGTCAGTCTTCGATGAATAACAACTTGAAATATTTCCAAATCTCCACAACTCCCTCAAAATTCAATTGAACTGGTGCTCATTGGTGACTAGCTTCGAGAAGTATTCCCGAAGTTCCAATGAGAAGTCGTGACCGGTGGAGACAAAGCCTGATAGTCGTGATGACAGTTACTCAGCGATGACATTGAGTGGTGGTTGTGCTGTGTCGTGAGCTAACAGAAGTCGGAAATATGGAGCATTGGATTCTGACCCAGTGGCTCAATGGTAACGTGCTGGCTGCGGAACCTGAAGGTCGCGGGTTCGATCCCTGCTGGTGGGGTCGTGGGTGCGCACTGCTGAGGAGTCCCATACTAGGACGAAACAGCTGTCCAGTGCTCCCAGGTCTCCATTGTTCCTCCAACTGATATCAGTCTTCGATGAATAACAACTTGAAATCGATAAGATTCGAAAAATTATTATCTAATTCATTTTTGGCATACCATTTAGCACTAGTACAGTTCATAATCCTGAACAGTGAAGTATTTGAACCCTTTATTATTTGGAAGATGAGCAACAGATAATATACAAGATATTAGATCGTTCATGTAGCACAATCGATGATTTATGTCATATGTCGCACAAACTCGAAGATCTACAACCAAAAACCAACAAGCTGATAGAAGAGGAAACGAAGAGAAGACGTCAAGTGAACGTAAAAAAGACAGAGGTGTTGAAGATACCTAGCCGACAACAACAATCGCTATCAACAGGAGAAATCTAAAGAAGGTAGCCTCTTTCATCTACCTAGACAAGGCATCATCGTTTCAAATACAGGCAGGATAGATGAGGACGTCAAAGCCAGCCAGGATAGAAAAAGCAAGACAGGCCTTCGTTGACCTGAAATCAGTGTGGAGATCTAATGCACTCAACACAACTTAATGAACAAGATCAGGATTTCTAACACCAGTGTCAAGTTAGTGCTTCTATGTGATAGTTCAGAAACCTAGCACGTCACGAAAAGCATCTCCAGCAAACAACTGAAGACATTCATCAACAGCTGCCACGTAGGCTCACTCGATACTGAAGATCACTTGACTAGAATAATAATAAGAATAAGAAACGAGGAACTCATTCTGACTGACTGGCAACGAACCAATCTAGAACCCATTGCACAACAAATCTGCAGCAGAAGGAAGTGGAGATGGATTGGATTGGGTATACACTGAGAAGGCCGTTTGGGGACATCAGGCACGAAGCCAGTCGCTCGAGTGTAATCTGAATGGTAAACGACGAGTTGGGTGTTCAAGTTGAGGGTGAGATGGAGGAGATGGTGTGAGTTTGAAATGATAGGTTGTAGGCAGTCATGAATCTTGGTTCAAAAGACTGTAGAGAAGTGAGTGAAATGATGATGTGCTACTGAATCTGTATGTTCCACTAGGAACCTTAGGGACAAATAATAATAACGTAGTACAGCGTGTTCAAAGAAACATCATGGAACACTATGTTGTAGACTAATATGTGAATAAAATATCTCACTGTATTAACTAGATGTTTATGAACAGAATAGAAGTGAATCATGGTTTTTAGGATATTCTGTTGACACTTTACCCTCTGTTTCAATAAACCTATTAATGTGTTATTGTCATAGGTCTTTAAACAATTTAAAGTAATTTTCACAAATTCTTCTGTCATTGATAATCATTAAATTATTCATAAAATAAAAGAATACGATAAGTTACATAACTTTGTTCAACTTCTTCAGAGTAATAACTTCAGGCATGTTGATATTATCAAGGCACAAGTAGTAGTAATATTAGTGTGAGCAGTAGCAGTAGTTGTATTAGTACTGGTAGTAGAAGAAGTATCCTGCTTTACAAAACAATCTAATCTTTTATCAATACAATAATCATACCACTATTATTACTAATAATGATGTTAAAGGAGACATTTAAACTGCATTTTTTTCATGTATCAACAAACAAATAAATCTTTAATCTTCTTTGTTGATCTCAATCTCCATTCTTATCATTTGATGATATATGAAATGATAACAATAACAACAGTATGTATATAAAATGTATGACAAGAAAAAAAAAGTAAAGTCAACTAACAACTGAAATACATATAGGATATATGTTCTATGTTGAGAAATGTACAATAAGACTTAAAGTGTATGTTTTTCTGGTAGTCGCTAATATTTCAACAAAATCGTGAACAATTAACAACAGGCAAATAGAATGACAATTGTGGACAATACCTTTGCTTAACAGGTAATATACATGTGCGTATATATATGTGCGTACATATATATATATATATATATATATGTATATATGCAGTTACTGGACAAGTGAGTAAGTGATCAAGATGCATAGAGAGAGAAAGAGGAATAGTGTTCAGAAGATATTGAATATATTCTGTTGTAATCATATATGATGTTCATTATTCAATAAAATGGATGAGAAGGATTTTTTAATGATGTACTTCTATCTAAACGATTTTCAGACTTCTTTGTTATCTGTGACTCTGTATTGACAAAAAAAGGTTATAAAATACAACATCAATACAACAACAATGACAACACTTCACAAAGAAATAATAACAATCAAAACAGTTACAACAATAACATAAATCTGACATATAACAACAAATTAAAACATATAGATCAGAAAATAAACAACATATATATATGCATATCAACTGTACAACACGATTTTCTTGTATAGTACTAAAGTGTCCCAGTTTTGCCGATAGTAATTAACATAAATAGTAAAGATGGATAGTGGCTAGCAGTGGAATCTAGGATATGCATTCTATCCTATTTGGGACTCAGCTGGATGTACCTGCTTCCTAGTGGGTGATTTTGTTCCTACCGGGACTCAGACTCGGAAGCGATAGCTTCAGATGCCAGAGTGTTATCCACTAGACGAGTGAGTCACGACAGTCACTTCTTGTGCGGCGGGTATAGTTTTAGTATGATTGTTTTTATGTGATACCGTCGTTGATTGTACCGAATTGATCGGTGTCTATTGGAATATGGGCTCCTGTGCGGATGCCTCGATATGCATGTGATCTAGTTACAGTAAAGATGGAGACCGACCAATTCGGTTCAATCAGTGATGGTATAATACAAGCAATAAAACTAACATAAACTTTAGAATTAACAGATAGACAAAGTACAGTACAGAGGTAAGTGATCTATGTCATGAGATTTGTTAGTCTTCAAAGATTCAATGTTAACTTGAGATAATAATTTTTAACATTTCCTTACATCTCCCCATTCCTGATGATTATTTTATAGAACTGTACTGATATCTTTCTGTAGATAAATCGTCTAAATGAAGGAATGTCTCTTAATGTTGCCAGAATTAACAATTTTGTGTAATTCATTTGAACGAGTGTTTAGTAATGGAATATATACAACACTACTCTCTCATCCATTGGAAATTAAAGCGATGCAGTTGATGAGACTCGAAAAGAACGAGATCAGTAACCTGGATTTTGTTGCTAGCTACCAGAAGAGGAATTTCACAATAATTTCTGATTGTAAACGTTTTCATAAAAAAACTACTCTGTAATCAACAATTTTCTTCAAATCAGTTTTACTTTGAGATATTGCCGTGTTTTGTTTTATTTACTAAGTTTAATCAAAGGAGTAAATGATACGCAGCTATTTTTATAAAAGATTATGAAAATGTAGAAAGAAACTAAAACGTGAATTTCACATTAGAGAATAAGTTACAGAGGGATTTGAATTATAAGAAGTTTTCTTTATGATTATTAAAGGGAAAGTAACTGACAATTTTGATTCCCTAAAAATTGCTTATACTCATGATTTCATTACTAAATTAATTGTAGTTATGACTTCTTGCCATTTCACTGCCAAACATCTAACAAACAAACAAAACGACCATGAAAAATGGATGAAATATCAGCTGTTTGACGAAATGCTTCAGAGCTGCAAGAATGCAGAACTTACTTTGTGTTTGTTTACAGGCTTAACTGGGTTATCTAGTGACCAGCTATATGATTATTTATGAAGTCTTGTAAAGATATCAATGAATTGACTACACTATTGTCATTTCAGGTCAGTGCATCTATATGATGGTTAAGAGACTTGGAGCGTTATGAAAAGTATTTCCAACAAATTACAGACATTCATCAACAACTGCCACCTACACTGGCTCCTTACTGAAGATCAGATGGCCACAAACAGTAAGCAGCAAGGAACTCTGGCTGACTGGCAACAAAATAAAAAAGAACACTTCGCCCAACACACACACAGAAGGAGGAAGTGGAGATGGATTGGATTGGGCATACACTGAGATGACCATTCGGGGACATCACGCGACACGCCAGTCAGGCACTCGAGTGAAACCTAGATGGGAAACGATGAGTTGGGAGTCCGAGGTGAGGGTGACATGGAGGAGATGGTGTGTGGAGGAAATGAGAGGTTGTGGTCAGTCATGGAACCGGGTTGAAAAGATTTGAGAGAAGAGAGTGTAATGTAGACGTGCTAGTGAATCTGTATGTTCCATTAGGAACCCAAGGGACAAATAATAATGATATAATAAATTGTCATTTGGAACTAAAGTGAGAGTATTCACTTTATCTGTTTGTCTTCTATCCATTCGTAGTACCAGATTGCATTTCCTTATCCAAAATGTTTCCACATTATATCATGATCATTCTTGACTGATTTCTCAGCTTATTAAAATTATCATCAGGTTTCAATCTTACTACTTCTTCATAACTTATAAGTGAAAATGATTTTTTTCGACTATAATTTGAATATATAGTAAAACAGTTGATAATTCATAATTTCTACTTACTTGTAATTGATGTATCAGGCATAGATGATTTAGTTTTAGGATTTGTTTTAGCATTGATCAGGCCAGTTGTAGCTAAAGCTGTAGACTGACTTTTACTAGCAGCACAACGCAGTAAATGATATACTGGATCAATTTCACCTAAAACAAAGGTAACATGATGTTTCAACGTTTATTTTCACACAATAATTGAAGAATAATTATAAACTTTTAAAACTGTAAGTGATATACTATAGATTACATATAATCCATATACATTCTCTTAACTGTTTCTAATCTCACTGTTAAACAAACATAAGAAAAGGTTTATACTATTCAACTAGGATTGAATCAACATTTATACTTACGAAAAGTTATGCAAATGATTCTCTGAGAAAATTTTAAAAACTATCCTATAGTTGCATTTATAACTAAAGCTGGACTGCCGTATTCAGCATATCAAGAGGTAAATTTTCTATTGTTTTTGCTATGATAACCAGTTGATCTCCACATTAAAACTACATTGATAACATTACTCAACAAAATGTCAAGAAAAAATGCGCGCAACTATTCGAAGTAAGTTGTCATATACATAAATATTAAGGTTGCTAGTACTCAAATTTATATCGCACTACTGATTACCAATTACTATCTGATGGTTATGCATTTACCTGGTTGCGGTAAACGTAGGACATCGAAAAATAACTCTACTGGTAGCTCAAAACTTCTACCAAATTACCTAGCCTACTCTTCTCATATTTAAAAACTCTACATTGCTAACTAATCTAAGCAAATATTACATAATATGTAGATTTCTTGGTCCGAGGCAGAGTTTAGTAAAAGTCCATCTTATTCGACTGCCTTCCAGGTATGAATAACTGTAACAGTAAGTGGAAATTAAACAGTCATCAAATCACTCATTTCAATGCATGTGGATAATTATGGATATAAATTCAATTTCGACAATGTTGAAATTTTGGACCGAGAGAGGAAACACAACGAATATGAGAGAATTCCTAGAAGTTTGGCATTCAGGTCATTCAGTCAACAATCAACAGACGTATAGACATAGACCTAATCTACAAACCAGTAAGAAAGATGAGAAACGACAGAAAGGTCAGAGATCCCATCAGGCAGAGGAACAGCCAACAGGAAAATCTATACATTCAATGACTTAACAATCGAAAGAAACAACCGATCATAGACCACTTCGTCAAGGCAAGCTACTAAGATACTCACGGAGAGATATTGACAGGTCGCTTCATACTGCAGTTAGTGCTGATGATGTCGTCTAGCAAGACGATGAAAGCTACGCGATTAAACAACCCAGCTCAGAGGAAACAATACAACCAAGACCATCCACATGAGCTACAAATATTCTCCATTATTTCAGTCATCAAATAATAATGAATGTCAGTAGGAACACTAAACTCTTCGAAGTGTTAGATATAGACCACCGACGAACACTACACTCGTATTGTCAGTTCACCTTTTAGTTTTTTAGGTAAATAGTGTGAATAGTACTACATATAATTTTCGTGAACGTTCACCTATTTAGGCAGCACTGTTTCAACTACAGGCGGTGGCGGTGCAGACGAGGACGTCAAAGGAACCAGAATCGGCAAAGCAAGACAGGCCTTCCTTCATTAACCTGAAACCAGTGTGGAGATCTACTGCACTGCACTCAGCACAAAGCGTGAACAATATCCGGATTCTCAACACTAAAGTCAAGTCAACACTTCTATATGATTGAGAGACTTGGCGCGTTACGAAAAGTATTTCCAACAAATTACAGACATTCATCAACAACTGCCGCCTATGCTGGCTTGATACTGAAGCTCAGATGGCCAGAAAGAATAAGCAACAAGGAACTCTGGTAGAGAACCTACCGAGAAGCTATCACTCAACAAATATGTAGAAGGAGGAAGGGGAGATGGATTGGGCACACACTGAGAAGGCAGACTGGGGGCATCATGCGCCATCCAAGGATTGAATCCTGGACATTCAGGTCCCTTGGCTAGTACCTTACCATTGAGTCAATGGGTTGCAATTAACTGGTCTACATATTCTTCGGACTATAGTCTACTGTTTTAGAACCCATTGATAGGTGATCTAATGAAACAAATTGAAATTATATTCGATAGCTATATTAGCCTCATAGGAATTTCGGTGAATTTTTGACTCTTCAGTTGTTTCATCATTCATTGATGAAGTAAATAGTGATGAGCAAACTGTAGTTTTAATCTCCATAATTGTCCATTATGAAGACAGTAAAACAGTTTTAACTATATGATATTTCTTAAAATTTAGTAGAGTTAAAAGTTTATTAATCATACTTTCATTTTCTTAATCGTTGTTATCTTCCAAATGCGATTGGTTAAAAGTCTGAAATATACTTATGAAAACCTAATTTATTATTTCTCCTTTCGGTTATTTATAATGCTTTTATGATAGAAATACATGAAGAACAAATCTAGTTTGATACGTTTTGATATTATAAACAGAACTATGTATAAATAGGAAAAGATACAAAACAAATGAACATATGATTAGGCTGGATAGAAGAGAGACTGTTTTATTGTTCTATATTACCAAATGTTTCTTATTTTATCATTTTATTGTTTCATCCATAAAAATGTGAGATTACTTTAGTGTTAATGGTTTGTTTCAAATACACTTTAAATGCAAACCAGTAATAAGCTTCACTCATATGACTTGATGGTGAATATGATAAGTATTAACAGGATAATTAATATGAGATTTTAGACAAAATAGAAACTGAGAGACTGAATTCTTATTGAGTTTATGATATCTCACTAATTAATCTGAGAGTTAATTTCCAGAAGTTAAAAAGCATAGAGATTTTACAAGTTAAACAGCATTAAGCAGAATGTCTATCAGACACTGTCAACATATGATTCATTCTGGGATAAAAATGTTTCGCTATTCAGGATGTATGTGTTCAAGTATGGCAGTAAATGTCTACATATACGTCAGGAAACAATTATTTTCACCGTATGATTTTTATTGAAAAAGCAACCCCGTTTTCCTTCTCAACATATAATAAACTACAATATTTTTTTCTTAATTACCTATTAAATATATTTGTTTTGGTTGTATTATGTTCTCTGAGCTAGGTTGTTTAGGTGTGAAAAAGGAGGTGGTCTTCACGCATCTACCGGACTGTCACACGGCCATCATTCACAGGCGCTACCACGTTACCGTACCACACAGTGATTTTTGCCTGCTTACTTTCTCCTCTGGGCCGGTCCACCCTACTTTAGACGATCTGGACAACCCGTCCTCCATTAGGTCGTCCATATCGGTGCAATACCAAGCATGAATGCCCGATCAATATCAATATGCATATACCAGAACGCTCTGGTGTAGGATTTTGCAGGATCGGGAGTTCTAGTATATGTATGCTAATGTGCAGGTCGTCTCAGGAGGGGCGGACAGGTCAAGAGGGGAAACCCAGCAGGAGAAATTCTTCGCGCTATGCGGTAGCGTGATAAGGTCTGTGAATGGTCGCCATGTGACAGTCCGGTCGATGCGTGGAGATCACCTCCTTTTTCACGATTAAATAACCCAGCAAAGGTAACACAACACAACTAAGACCATCCATCTGATCTACAAATATTCTCCACCACTTCATATTCGCTTTCATTTCTAATAAATTGCTGAAGATAAACAGAAGAAGTGAATGGAATCAGTGGAATCTGAGAACTGGAGGATCATTTGTTTTGTTCTGATTGCAGTTAATCACTGCTAAGTTTCAGGAGTCAATCTCTATTTTTAAATTCTTGACATTTGTAACTATAAGGAATCATGTTGACTAATATAAAAGAGGACTATTTAAAAAGTTGAAATTTATTTGCGGAATTATGTAACTGCACAAAGTAATATGATAATCTTGTGGTTATGTTCACCTATGATGGACACACCTGCGACTTCAACAATCCATATTCATAAGCCAAGATTTTGTGTTCTCTCTATCTAATTACTCAGTGTTTATTATGCCTCAGAAATTTCGCTGTAAACAAAAATCATAGCGGAATTTCTTGAGTTTTATCTAGTCAACTCAGTTCCCTTTCAAACCTTTATCTAGAAAAATATTTGATCCGACAATTTTTTTCACCTTCATAAAATGAAGCCGTTAACTAACTCACAATATTGGCTGCAAGGATAACAATTTCAATACACTGACTTCATATTCTAACAACACTATAATGTGACGTGTTTTTGTTTCATGTGTTCATTTTCTGTTTATTATATTAGCTTTTCACTGTAGATACAGTTGTATGGGGTTTGTTAACGAAACATTTACTTGTTCTGTTTCACAAAATATTTTTAAATACTTGGTATCTATCTGGTCTGAATTAGGTTATTTTTATAGACTCTTTCTTGATTTTGTTTCATACCTTAGTAAACGAGCTGCTTACCATAGTTCCCATTTTTCGGATTTGTCAGTTCATTAACTGTTTATTTGTGAACAACAAATATCAAGTTGTCTGGTCCTGGGGTTGGTTGAAGTTGATTCCCATAGGAGATCATTGACTATCTAAATGGGCTATGTTCTTGGTCAGAGAATTAAAAGACGTGGAATTGAATTGCTGGAAGATAGACCTTGCTGTTGATTGCCGAATAGCCCGTAACTAAGTTAAGGGCTTTTTGCTTAGTGTCATCATCATCATCATCATTATCAACATAGGACCAGGCATTACTGCGTAACGGTCCAACTTGCCACACCTCATATCAGCACATCAAGTAAAAAGGTAGTGAGGCGAAGGATGAAGATAAGTGAATGCAGTCAAAAGAAATATAAAGTACGAGAAGAAAAGAAAGAGGAGTGACAAAATGGTGAGACTCGGTATAGTGTAGTTAAGATGAGGATAATGTGTGTATACATCTGCGCCACTGGCTTCGGTTCTGAGCCATATCACCTACAGTCAGTCTCCAACCACTGGTTACTCTTGTCCTGCCGACCCCAACCACCTAGTCTGCATCGTCTTGCATGGCTTAAACCATCAGTCAGAGACTTCATACATTGGTGCCATGTTTTAGTCTGGCCACCTCGGGCCTTTTTCCAGCCTGCACCCACCTCAGCCAACATTGTGTGACGAAGCAATCGGTGACTGGGCATACGTAGTACGTGTGCCAAC